ACACATTCGGGTCTTTATGCACGTGTTCATTTCTCGAGGGCCAGTCTCACCTACTCAAACAGGAATAAAAGTTATTCCATATCAATTCATGTATATATCTTAAAACAGATATGAAGGGCTATTCTCTTCTTCACTAAAAACCAAACATTAATATTTACCATGCCAGATAAAGAAACTTCTTAAGTTTTAAAACAAAGTAGCATCCAATCTAAGCACTGCCCCAATTTTCCTAATCAAAGTATTTTTATAACTACATGATGCAACTACTAAAGCCAGAATGACATTTAGACATTTTATGACTTACTCATTTTTCCAAGAAAACAAAGTTTACTCCAGGAAACTGCGTTTTAAAAATATTCTAATTAAAATCTCCCCTTTACTCCAAACCAAACTGCATCCACAAATGAAGACTAGCACACAGCAGTACTTAAATGTTTAAACTACTGAATCTACAGTAAGTGAAACAACCTAATAGTAAAAAGTCACAAGACAACCATAAACAGTCTCACAAATTCTTACTGTAACAGAATAACCTCTGTGATGTGTTCAAAAGCTGTAAAACTGCGATAAGTAGAAAATTTCAACCTAGTAAATACCATCTAGAAAATGGTTCAAATACACTATGGTAAAGATAAACCTAAATGCAATTAAGGCACAGAATAAAAATATATACATTGTTATGGGAGTCAAAAATGTGTTATGCTACAGGAGTGAAAACTAACATGTTTAATCTATAATTACCAGATCTATTACCAAAGAGCATGACTTCCTCTTAGGAGGAATAAGGTATGAAATTAAAATGACAGCTTCTAACTGATGAAGAGCTGGCATATCCTTGAAACTCTTAAAAATATACACACATGGGGCTTCCCGGGTGGCGCAGTGGTTGAGAGTCCGCCTGCCGATGCAGGGGACACGGGTTTGTGCCCCGGTCCGGGAAGATCCCACATGCCGCGGAGCGGCTGGGCCCGTGAGCCATGGCCGCTGAGCCTGCGCCCCGCAACGGGAGAGGCCACAGCAGTGAGAGGCCCGCGTACCGCAAAAAATATAGATAGATAGATAGATATTCACATGTATGTCATAATATTATGATAAATTTGAAAGCTAACCAAAGAAAAAAAAAAAAAAAACAACAACCCAAAAACCATGACCAGACATGACGCACCTTTTCTTTTGGTAAGGGCAGGAGCCGCGCTATGCAGCATGTGGGATCTTAGTCACCCGACCACGGTTCAAACCCGTGCCCCTTGCATTGGGAGTGAGGAGTCTTAACCACTGGACCACCAGGGAAGTCCAGATGTGCCTTTTGTTACATTAAAAAATATATATATTATTCAAGACAAAGTAAGTATTTATTTTATACTTAAAAGCCCATACTATTAGTTGTGCTGGAATATTCCTAAAAGGAATATTAGAAAGAAATGTGAGGTGGCATCTTAAAACGAACCAAGTAAACCTACATGACTTTTATTACCCAGGCAAGCTGAACACTTACCATTTGATTCCTCCCTTTATACTGAACAGTGAGAAAAGAGAAGCACATAAGAGGGCCTAATTTCAAAGCTTTTAAAAACAAAAACAAACATTAAAATTGTTTAACAATTTTTCCCAAAGACAGTTTTCAAAGTAAAAATGAAGAATAACTAATGCAACAATGGCCTCAATGTTTCTTCTATTAACACAAACCAGTCAAGACTAGTATAGAGCTTTTGTTAATATTTCTTTAGTGCTTGATTAGTTTATATTAATAAGCATTATGGAGCTAGGAACCAAATAAAACTGATACCAAAATGACGAAAAACTTGTGTCTATTCATAATTTCTAATCTCAAAAATATCTAAAAATAGAACAAAGACTATATTTTCCCCTAGATATTTAATTCCATTACTACATACTATGATTCCTTTCCAGAAAATTAAGAACATAGTAACAAAAAAAAAACAAAACAAAACAAAAAAAACAACCCAGGGCTTCCCTGGTGGCGCAGTGGTTGAGAGTCCACCTGCCGATGCAGGGGACACGGGTTCGTGCCCTGGTCCGGGAGGATCCCACATGCCGCAGAGCGGCTGGGCCCATAAGCCATGGCCGCTGAGCCAGCATGTCCGGAGCCTGTGTTCCGCAACGAGAGAGGCCATGACAGTGAGAGGCCCACATAACGCAAAAAAAAAAAAAAAAAAAAAAAAAAAAAAAAA